GAAGAGCTCTTGCATTGAATGAAATGAAACCCCTAATGATATTTTATAAAAGTTGAAAAGTCTTGTTAAACAATAATAGGAATAAGAAATTACATTTTGTAAACCATTTAATTTTGGCTGCTGGGAATTTTCTTGATGGATGATTTTATAGCATGTAAAGGCAAAAGTCACTGACACTCGGGATTCTTACTGACTCACAGAATTCAGGAAAATTTCTCTCTTGCGAAATAACAGTATATAATTCATATCACTATATGTTCATTAATGCTAAGAAACGAAACTAGAGACCAAGTCTTGGCTGAGAGCAGAAGGGGTGTGAGCCACGGTCAAGCATGGTCGCCGAAACCTGCTCCGTGATGTGAGTCGCAGATTTGATTCATATCATGGAGAGATTGCATGATACTTGATCGAGGCCAGTCAACGCAGGGGTCACCACCCGACCGTTGATCATTAAAGTACATAACTGTGATGTTGCTCGTGATATATAAAATGCGAGAGGTGGTGGTCACGACTGAAAGTGAAATAAATGATACAAACATGTCAAGGTAAATGTCCAAAGCGAAATATAGTTCATGTAAAAAATGAAATTAGGTAATAACGAGCAAGTACAAAGTTGGATGGTCAAAGGTAGCACCATGGCATAACACAAGTACGTAGATGTGGCAAACGAAATGCCAGCGGGGGAGTCATGTGGGGTTGAGAATCCACAAGGTAACAGGAGGGGGCGCCTAAGATGAATGTCCGCAGAGGATGCGAGGTATGGCTTGTAGCGTTGACGAAGGTGTGTCGATATATATTTGGTATGCATCGCATCGCCATCTTCCTAGAGTCTTGATTAACCAATCTGGCACGTTCACTTCTGCTGCGGTTGTCGTTGTCCCTCATCTGAAGCTGTGGAATGACTATATGCTAAGGCAAAGCAGGATACAGGAAAGCTTGACGATTGCATGGCAAGTGAGATTAGGCGAATGACCGTCACGCGAGTACGAGCTTAGAATATGCATGTGAAGGGTAATAGCACGGGCGAGGCGTGCACAAGATGGAAGGTCGTGTGCCTATGAATGGGGGCACACGTTGATGTCATGTGCGGGGGATTACAACTGGCGTGCGTTGCGTAAGTCATGTGTGAGGGATTAAGACTGAAACATCGTTGCCCAGCATTAACACGGACCAGGCTGACGCATAATTACTACCTTATACTAAAATATATTTGGATAATTAGAGTACTAACAAATTTTCACTTATGGTCCGGTTAGACTTAAAATACACCACGAATATTCATTTTTGAATTATAATTTATGGTATGTGTTGATTCTTGGATATTTTATCTTGGTCCTCCTGTACTTCGTTTATTAATTCGAACTTCCCAGTTTGCGTAAAAAAAGTGAGTTTCGCGATTTCGACATCGAAAATGCCTTTGCTTCATTATTTGCTGGGGGACGGCCACTTAGGTATGTGCTCTGTCTCTTGCATGAACCTAAAAACCTGAGGTAATCAAACAAAAATGAAGTTGTACTAAAAAGTCCAAAAAGTACGTTCAAGGTCTGCATTTTTTCGTAGCATAAAAACGATTTACTCTCTTGCTTATTGTGACACCCTCAAATCAGCTGATTTCCATTCCCCTCAAGAGTCAAAATGGTATGTGTCTCCATTTTACACCATGACTCGAACAATTTTTTTGCTTGACGTGTTCATTTGCTTTCAATTGTGTTTCAGTGGCTGTCACAGTCGTATTCTGAGTCTTGCTGATAACAGTTTGGTTCAAATTCACGTAGATATCGAGGAGAAAACTCAAATTTTTAACTAAAGCTAATTTGCATAACAATGTGTTTGCCTTTGGTCGCCATATTGATCATGCATACAATTAGTTATTTAAGTATATGGCCTTGGTAGTACTTATTTAGCTTAAGTGTACACATTCTAAGTCATTATATGCAATGGCAGGAAGTTGTAATTGATACCACCTGTTTTAATTGAGCAAGTAATCAGATGCTAAGCAGACTCCAGTGAACTAACACCCTGTAACAGTACTGTAACGCTTTTTGGGAAAGTCCAGGAGCTGCTCTCGTGTTTTGACGCCTGATTGACACCTGCAACACATATTCATTCTATTTTTTTTCCAAATTTCATATTTTGAATTTTGTTCCATTTTGAAGTTTGTGAACTAAACGGTATGCTATTAGCATTCAACAATTTTCAAAATAACTTTTCATCAATGTTGTGGAGTAGAGCTTTGAGTGCAGATCACAATGTCAAAAATAACAATGGATAAACTACAGCAGTTCAGTTTAGACATGGCCATACATGGACACAGTTTTTTATTAACGGGACAAGCTGGAACTGGCAAGACTAACAATTTGAGGAAGACCAAAAGAGTTCAAGTTACAGCCAGCACAGGCATGGCTGCAAGTCAGTCGAGTGCATGTGGTTTGGATCGGACGATTTCTTTTGTTCCCAAATCATTGTACGCCTAGAAACATGGCAACGTTGTTTTTGGTGAATATATAACATGTTCTGTTCCAATAAAGGATGTTTATATGCATAAACATTCCTTAATGAAACATTTCCTGTATTCTATAAAATTTAACAATGCCACTAACCCAAGATGGACTTCCTGTTCAACACGTTGTTAAATGTTCGCGTCACTGTACGTAAAAAACACACTCTCGAACTTGACAATTTTAAAGTTCAAGACCATTAAGCAAACACTGTAAAAATGTCTTTTTCGCGAGCATGTCTTTTTTGCGAATTTAGCGAGAGAACTGATTCGCTAATTCAAGATGTCGCTTATGACTTTATTATCAATTCAAAATGGCCGCCAAACAAAGAAATCAACAATGACAAGAGAGATTCGCTAAATCAACATTTCGCTATTACGTCATTTTACCACAATTCGCAAAAAATGCATGCCGCTTTTTCAACATGTTTTACAATAGATGGAAATCCATTTGCATAAATCATGAAGATTGATGATTCGATTGGTGACCGGGATAGCTGCATTTAGTGTTCTTTTCTATGCAATATAAAATCATATCGATGATGTGGGCGGCGAAGGGTGGTAGATTGTTTTTGTTCAACGGCTCTCAATGCACGGGCAACTGACATTTCCTGACTTTTTTTTACTATTCTGACGTGTTCTGGCTGTATATAACAGTCAGACACTGACAAGTAAGTAAGTACTAGTAAACAGTCCGGGACATAGTTAATACAAGCCGACAGGCTGGTTGACGATCCGCTCCGCTCAAAAAACAAGCAACATGTTTTTGGCTGTTTCCATGTAGGACATGAACGTGAAGTTAGTTTATAACTAAATGGGCCCTGTATACGAAGTTCGCAAAAACCATTCAGTCTTTAGAAGTCACTTAGTTTATTACTAGGACGTATTCTGCTGTTACATTTCCAATTGTTTTGCGATAGTATTTTCTAGAATGAGGGCAGCATTTACAGTTCATTCAAAGTTCAAAGTTGTGTTGGGATTACGTTGATACAGTGTAACAAGGAGTCTGCGATATCTTACCAGTGCGCAAAGTTGTCAAAATAAAAAGCATGGTCATCTGAGCCAAAATAACAAGCATGATCATCTGAACACTGCTTATTACAAAACTGGTAGGAGGTAATACATTTGGGACGAAAGTATTTAAAAATTTTCGCCAGTTTTTTTTTTCCAATTAGTGACGTTACGACCTACCTGTGAAGTATGAACAAAATCAGCCGAGCCAAAACAAATCTCAGAGGAGTTAAAAGCCGTTGCTGGTGAAAAGTGACCCCAATTTTGTGGTAAAATATCACGGTAATGAAAAAGATATCAAAACTTCAAATAGTAACTTTGTGCCCACACAAATGCTGAGCGTAGTGAGCTATGTCTGAGGTGTTTTGTCCCAAATTTGTAGGCGGAGACACATTTGGCACGAAGCTATCCAAAAAAACAAACAGTTTTTTGGCTGTTGCTATGGCAGATTTTTCCTAATAACTAGGGTGAAGGTGTGACCTACCTGCCAAGTTTGAGCAAAATCGGCCAAGCCAAAAAAAAATCACAGAAGAAATAATACATGAAAACACTGGAAATCACACACACACACACACACAAAACGACAAAAGTGATTATAAGGACAATCCCAGCAGAGCGAATCGCAAATAATTAATATTTCATTTTTGTTAGTGTATCTTTAATTTTATTAATTAAAATATGTACACATTATATCTAATTGGGGTGGGAATTGCCAAGCCAATTTATAAATTTATAAACAAATATTTTCGTAAATAATACTGACCGTGAAATACGCCCTTTAGAAGTGTGACTGGGGGTATATTTTATATTGCAATATCTTTCAATTTTATTAGTTGTATTGCAATGCATTAGTAATAATGTATATATATATATACATTTCTTTATTTCTTTGATGAGACTGAGTTTATATATCTGTCACGTACTATAATTTATCTATATTGGAAAACAGTTATGGGGATTATTATTTTTAATAAACAATATTCAACTATTCTTTGCAATAAGATCATAATGATAATGTTTCTTGGTTTTTGAAACTATGGGCATTATCAGAGCATGGGTCTTATTTTGGAACTCCTGCCAGAGCAACATCACAAATCATAAGGGCAAACTAATAGCTTCTAAGGATGTTATTCCCAGAATAGCGCAAGTTGTTAAAGAAACATAAAACTTTAATACTCAACAACGATGAAAAGACCAGTTACTGTGACAAAGCCCTACTCCCCGCGAGACCCACCCAATACGAAACCCACTTACCGCGAAAGCCACCTACCGAGAAGCTACTAGTCATACTATAATATATTATAAACGGAACCCAATGGCAACTGATGTGATGTGATAATGACATAGGCAATGCAGTGCTCTCTAACCTTGAACATTTTTTTATAGCAGGCACAACTGGAGATGGACAGACTACCTCTGGTAGCTTTTTTGGACAGACTGCACAGCCACAACAAACAAGTCTATTTGCTAGCAAGGCTGGTGGCTTTGGCGCAAGTACTGGTTCATCATTGTTCACTGGCACAACAGGATTTGAACAAACTCAAAAAAAGGTACATTTTGTTTTGTTTTTAGTTGTTCACAATGTACATCTTCATTAGCGGTTGACTTGCTTCCAAGTCGAGAACAATGGAAAATGGACATCCAAGTCAGTCACATGGCATCACACTTAACTGTA